GAGATACAATCCCCAAATAATGAAGAAAAATCCTTCTCAGTGATGAGAGGTAAGGAAAAGGGTGGAAGAAATCCATCCCAAGCTACAAACTGTGTTAGGGAAGGAGACAGGGGAAGAAGCAATTGGTTTCAGCAACTTACTTAATTCCCAGGCCATCCTTTTCTCGAAATATCAGGGGAACTCTGAGAGCTTCTCTCTGCACGTACTCATAGTTGAAATCTGTTTGGAGATTGGAATTAAAACAGGTTGGTTAAGTCATGAAGGAGCAAATGAACCATGATCCATTGGTTAGGGGAAGAAAAACGATGGAGGAAGGAGCAGGGGTTATACTAGATGCAGGCACCAGCTCAAAGGGCAAGAGCTCCCTAGAAAATGACAAGGAGATGGATTAGGCAAAGCCCAAGAGAAGCCATGCCAACTATCAACTCCTCTGCCTACTCAGTCACTGCCTGCATGCCCCACGGGTCAGAACTTGTCAATGAACAGCCCAAGGCTGGAGAGAACTGGGGAGGGAGCCTCATGAAAGAGCCCCACACAGCCCAGTTATCACTGCAAGAGAGGGACGGATGGAGAAACACATCCCAAGCTGAGCTCAGAAAGTAAAGGAACTGCAAAATTGAAGAATGCCACCTGGGAGGATCTGAAGCCCCAGAGAGGAGGCTGGGAGGAGGGTTCTCATTGTAGCCGAGCATCAGGGAAGATCTTATTGTAATATCCTGCATGGTGAAGGGGAGGGGGGAAAAGCCGGTTTCCCTGGAAACTGTGTATCTGGTGCCAAAATAACTAGGGAACTGGGCACAGCTTTGCTGTCTTAATAGTGAAATCCTGCTGCAGCCATCAGAACACTTGCTTCAGCTGGATAACCAAGAGGGATGCTCCCCAGGTGAAGACTGTGTGAAGGGGACATAGTGAGGCCTGAAGAAAACTCACCGCGTAGTTTTCCTGTCTGACTGACGCTTGTCTAGTGTAGACCCCCAACATCCTTATCGAAAGCCCTAGAGCACGAAGGAAGCCTTAGCTTCCATCCTCCTGAGTTCCAAAAGTAGGGGATATGACCCAACCATATCCCTAAATATGGAGGTGAGGGAGGCGGAGATAAATCCTCACATCCCCAAATCCTCAGGTAACTGAAGCAATTCACAAAGACACAAGCCTTCCCTGGCCAGTCAGAAGGGAGATAGAGGAGATCCCAGGCCACTGAAGCCCCTGCCCCAGGGAACAGTTCACTAGGGCAGCTTGGGGGAGTGGGGGTAGGGAGAGGGCAAGGCAACTCTGCTCAGAGGAGAGAGAACAAAACCAGAGCTGGGGAAAGTCCTGACCTTAGCAGCTCAGATCCCCAGGAGCTCCCAGTGAATGGGGATTCCTAAGGATTTAAAGGCAAGAAGTTTAAGAAGCTTCTATTTTGAATCCAGGCTAAGGGCTCCTTCTGTTTCTCGGCTCCTCCCTCGAGTTTTGGGGCAAGATCTGAATTAACAACCAAAAACCCTAGAGCCCTCTCTCTTGAAAGGAGCCTGGACAGCAGATTTAAGGGCTCTCCCTCGCTGGAAACCCCCAGCCCACCCCATACACACACACCCAGAGTCCACCCCCAGGGTCAGCTTCAACTTCCTCAAATGAGCCTGAGAAAACACTGAGATCCTGGGCAGAGAATTCCTCACCAATGACCAGGAAGAGTTGCATACTGCTTTCTCCTCCGATCCGCCAAACGACTCAAGAAAAATGGGGAAGGAGAGGAATTAAAACCCCATTTGTGCTAAGGAAATTTAAATGTAGTTGAGACTAGACCCCTGAACTGTCTGGCCTCTGGGTGCAATGCTCTTAAGACCTGGCAGGCTGGAAGAAATTTCTTCTTCCCTCCTCTCACAACTACCCCCTACCACCGAAGCCCGGCACTCCAGGAAGCAATGGGCACAAAAGAGAAACTTCAAAAATGCAAAGCTAGGCGGTCTCTCCTAGGAGCTAACCCCATAGCCCTAGCCACTCATCCGGAACCTGGAGGCGGGAGGCGCTTCCCAGTTATCAGCTCACTGAGGAATGGGAGGGTTTTCCAAGGGGGAAGGGGATAAACAAAATGGGAACAGAGTAATGTAAAGGAAACCCAAATGTCTGAGGGGCAAAAATGAACTTACAAACCCCAGAAGGGCATAGGGAGATGCCTAAGTAGGCAGGGCAAATCCAAAACCCCAATCCCACAGGCCAAACCAGGGGCCTTGCAGGCCTTAGACCCAAGCCAGACAGAGCATAAACTCAAAGTCTGGAAGACACTCCCAGACGCTTTGCTAGTACCAGGGTCAGGGAGATAGGCCCTGAAGGTCTCAGGCTAGGGTGACATTCCCAAACCCCAGAGGCTTCTCCAACTTCTGCTCTAAACTGGCAGGGCCCACAAGAGGGACAGAGCTCTCAAGGCCTCAGCCCTGGGAAGAGACCCTGTTTCCCAGGGGGGGTGTCCCAACTCTTCACCTCAAACTGCCAGGGGGCAGCCTGAAGCCTGATGGGGGGATAACCCCCTTAACCACTTCAAGCATCAGGGATGCAGGGCTAGAGACCTCAGGCTTAAGCGGGGTCCAGCCAACAACTCCGGGTCACCCACCCTGCTCCCATCTAGCAGGGCTCACAAGGTGATGGAGCTCAGCAGACCCCAGGCCTGAGGAGGTGTCACTAAGTGACCGGGGGCATCCCCAGCGCCAGGTCCTAACTGGCAGGGCCCGAAATGTCACGGGGTTTGAGAGGCTACAGGCCTGGAGGTCCCCCACCCCAATACCCCTGGGGTGCCCCAGCCCCGCTCCAGCCCATCGGCTGCACCTCGTGCAGCGCAAGGAGCTGGGCCGGCTCCGGGAGGGGTAGAACGCGGCGCACCCGCCCTCCATCTGTCTGCCCGTCGGTCCCCAGGTCCCTCAGTCCGCCGGCCCCCTGGCTCTACCCACCCTGGGGCTGGTGGTGGGCGCGGGCCGGGCCTAGGCCCACGCCCGGCCCCGGTTCCCGCCTGCCCTCCTCCCTCGCCACCCAGCCCACCCCACCCCCCCAGTGCTCGGCCTCGTTTCGTCACCGGATCCCCTGGAATGGGGGACGCGGGCGCGAAATACGAACCCAGCCACCGGCAGCTCCCTCCCCACGTGCGCTCGGGCCGCGCCGCGGAGGACTGCCCGAGGAGGGGGCGCCTCACCTTTGCCCTCCATGGCGTGCACGAAGTCCCCCTGGTACAACTGGCTGCGCAGCTTCTCCTCCAGGCTGAAGCCGCGGACGCTGACGATCTCCTCCACGTCCGACAAGTCCTCGTTCTCGTCGTATCTCTGGCGGTCAATCGGGCGCTGCAGGGACCCAAACCAGAGAGCCCGGGACATTACTGGGGGAAGTGGGGGTCGCCTCTCACCCTGGGCCCAGCTCGAACAGGTGCAGGAGCCGCGCGCCCCCTGCACCCCACCACTGCGACCGGAGCAACTTTACGCAAAAGCCAAAGATGCTGAAAATGGGCATAATGAGAGGGGCCAGCGCCCCCAGGGTCAAGCTGCGCCCTAAACAGGGCACTCCCCTCCTGCATCTCTGGAGGCCATGCAAGGGATATCTGGGGGAGTCTCCCTTGCCCCCCACCCCCGAGAGGTGTTAGGTTTTGCCCACTCGGCCGGGAGCCTGGTTATGTAACCCGCGAGGGGGGCTCGGCGCACGGGCTGGCGGGGCATTTGTAGGCCCCGGGAGGAGCCGCCGCAGCGCCCGGCTCGGCGCTAACAGCAGCCCTGGCGGCCACAGCGGCAGAGCCGGGAAGCCGGAACCGGGGGCCGGCGGCATTTCTAAGACTGGAGCCGCCCCCGAGCTACGGGGGAAGCTGGAAAGCTGAAATGGAAGGGCTGAGACCCCAGCCGCCCCCGCCGACCGACCGCCAGTGCAAGAAGAAGAGATGGGAGGGGGGGTTCGGGGCTTGGGAGGGGGAGAGGCAGACGGCCCGCCACAAAGCTCCCATCGGAGACCCCAAAACGCACCAGCAGCTGTCTCATCTCCCCACAAGCGCGCGCGCACACTCACTTCCTAAGGAGAATCCCCCGCCACTCCCCGCATCCCCTGCCTCCTCCCTCCACCGCCGAGCGCCCAGCCCCGCAGCCCCCCAGATTCCGGGCGAACCCCGAGCCCGCTGAGCCCCCCCTCCACGCCTTTCCCCGCTACCACCTCCCCACTTAAGTGTCTGAGACTCTGAGCCTCACAAGGGACTGGAGGAGTAAGCTGCTTGCTTCCTTTTGCATGCAATTTATTATATTTTTTTCCGGTCCTCTTGCAAAATACAGAAAAGGAAAGAAAAGGCAGCAAGAAACAACAACAAAAAAAATAGATCTATCATATACCAGATACAGATTTGGAAAAAAAAAAAAAAGCTACACACCAATCTTCTTCCAGAGTCTTTCTCTGCCTCCATTTTTTTAGGAGAGTTCACCAATTAATTGTCAACACTCCTGCCCCCTGCATTTTGGCGGAGGGGGGAAGGAGGGAAGACCAAAGAAAACAAACCAAAAAATAAATAAATAAAGCTAGCCAGAGCCGAGATCTACAAAGTTTTGCACCAACACTTAAGCAGATCCGTTTGCAAAGTCCTAGGAAACCATTTTCAGCAGTTGTGGGGGGAGGCGTCGACGTCATAATCCCCGGAACGTAAACATTGTTGCCGATCGCGCTCCGAGCCCGCGGCCCGGCTGGGGGGGGGCACTCGGCCCGGGATGGGGGTGGGCGGGGGCGGTGGCCTGAGGAGGTGTGGGGCGGGGAGGGCGCCCGGGAGGCACCGGGCGCCGTTAGCGCCCTGGCATCGCTGTTTTGTTGTTGGGTCACGAGTGCGCCTCTGCACGCAGGCGCCGCCGCCGCCCGGGAGTTGTGTGCAGAGCTGACTTTTGGAAGGGCTGAGTTGCAGGCGGCGGGCGCATCCCGGAGATGGCGGGGCAGGGAGGAAGGGAAGGAGGGAGGGGGTGGGGAGGGAGGTGCAGATTTGCACGGCTGGCCTCAGCGGGAGGCGCGGAAATGCAAGCCGAGCATGCTGGAGTGAAAGCCCCCGGGGCCTGGCACCCCCCAAAAACGACCTCCCACCTCAATCCCTGCCCCCATTGCCCACGGCCCCCACGGGCTACCCCTCTTCCTCTTCCTTCACTCACCCCACCTCGTTACCTACGTGGCCGACCCAAATTCAAAACATTTTGTGTATATATAAATTTTTTTCTTTTCTACTACGTCTTTTTTTGGGGGGATCCTCTCTAGATCCCCATAAGCGGACCTGCCATACGGAGGAGGCATTTGGGGACTCAGGAAGAAATTAGCGCAGCTCCATACCTGTACGGACTGCATAGCTTTTAAACTCCTGGACTCAAAGATAAGGATCCACATACACACAGGTACAGGAAATACAGCCAGACCAAAGCCTTTTCAGACCCGAGCTGACCGGAAGACGTTGCCTTTCATTCATTCACTCTGCCCGCGTCTGTGGAGTCCTTTACTAGGCGACAAGCCCTGGAAGAGAAGTTGGACATTTTTTAAAGGTCCCTGCGCTCGCCAAGCGGAGGAAATAGATGCTCAGGAGTGAACTACCGAGAGAATCGGATCGGGCGCCTCCTAACGCAGCTGGCAAACATGCGAAGGGTAAGCCCTTATTGGCGGTTTACAGGAGAAATGTCGGTGGAAAGGTGCAAGGCGCTGGGATGGGGCGCGGGGAACTTTGGGCACCCCTTGATTAAGCCTACAGCGCTTCTTGGCGGAGGTATGGGCACCCTCTATACAAATATGGAGTATCATTAGATCTCAGTATGCTGTCACACATACCTCATTCACTGTGACCACCCCCAAAACTGGAATCCTAAACGTGTTATCCTGTAAGTCCATCATGAACAACAGTCAGGTCGACTTTGGTTGTGAGAAAAGCTGGCCCTAAACATTCTTCCAGCCCAACTAGGCCTGATCTTGGAGGTAAAGATCACGATGAGATGACATGGCACCAGGGCTACAGTAAAAGAGCCTTATACCTGCTCATAACAGGCTTTGCAAACAAACTTCCCATACTTTTAATTTTACTTCTCTCATGAACCCTATGGGATAGTTGGAGAAAATCATTTTGCAGATGGGAAACTGAGGCTCAGAGAAGTTTTGAATCTGGTTGACTGCTTTACCCTCATATCCTCCCCGTGTCAACACAGTGATCAGACAGATAAGTGGAGAGGAAGTGGCTTCCCCATCAGAGATCAGATGTGAGCCGTCAGCGTAAGAGACAGCTTCCCCCTCACTCACCTTGAAGTTTCCTGTCCTATCTTTCTGTGTTTTTTTCCACCCACCCTCCAAAGACTACTCGTTGAAGTCTTGTTTTAATCCAAGTCCACTAGCTGGCGAACTTCAAAATTTTTTTCCAAACTGAAATCGCCCACCTTGGCTTAATGGGCGTGAGAGGGGTTTTGCCTTCAGCCTCTGTCAAGAACCAGGGACCGTTGTATTTGCTTCTCTCTTTTGCAAGAACCCTTTAAGGGAAATAGTTTTGTTATTCTTCATTTTGCAGATAAGGAAACTGTAACTCAGAAAGGGAAAGCCAATCCCCCAAGATCACACAGCTTATATAAATGGGGCTGCTGGGGCTCAGACTGGACCCTGGCTCTGCCATCACATCCTTGTTTTGGATATTGACCATCTTCACTGCTCCCACATAATGAGATAAACATGTTCAAAGGAGGGTGCAGTGGGCTGGAAGGTCATGAATTAAGTGCAGTAAAGCAAAACTGTGAAATAAAACACTTGGTCTTAATTCTCCTTTCCTCCCAAAGACCCTACTGTCTCCCCATGTGGTCTCATGGTGTCCCCAAAAGCTGGTATCAGGAAAAGACCCAATGGCAGACACCTTAGTGTAAAAACAGTTAAGTCCATATATCACCCCGATGGGAAGTTCCTGGCCTGTCAGAGTGGGAAGGGGTTGAGTAGTCACCTAATTTAATCCCCTCCCTCTACAAACGGCCAGGAAACCACAGACCAGAGAGAAGAATGGGCCAGCCGGGGGTTTGTTCCCCTTTGACGCCCCCAGAATGCCTACCCTGCCGCCCGCTACTAAGTGGTCACTCAATAAATGTTGGGCCCTTGATGGATCACCTTCCCAGCGATATTTGCATTTTCTCTTTATCAGTAATTGGCAGATGAAAGGCTTTGTCCTCCTGTTGAAAGAATCCCAGGCATTTGCTCAAAGTGGGGGGAGGAGGTTATGTTGGGCCGAAGGGGGAAGGGCCAAGACCCTTGAGCTCCTTCCTTGGCTAATTGTCCCCGAGGAGTGGACTGTAGGTGAGAGAGCAGAGGGAAGCTTAAGGTGATTCCCCAGGAGAGGGTTGTTTGTTTGTTTGCCTTTTCTTGCAGGAAAAAAAAGACCAGGCCAGTTGTATTTGAAGCATAATAATAATGACTTCCTGGAGCCTCTTGCTCATTCTTACAAAAGGCCCAGTCAGATCCTGGCTGTATTGGCCCCATTCATTCATTTCTTCATTCATCAAAGGTTGATTGAGCAGCTCTGTGCTCTAAAGACAGAAGGTAGAAAAGCCAGCTCCGATTGTAGACTTACTCCAGGCTGGGCAAGGGGTGGGCCGCCAGCTTCCCAAGCAAGTTAGGAAGGGCTGATACTCTATGGAACTCTTAGAATCCAGCATTTTCACACTGTTAGAAACTGAAGCTGTCATATTCATGTATAATTATAATAGCTGCTGATTTTTGAGAGCTAACTATGTCTTTGAGCAAAGCCTCTCACATTTGCTATCTCTGAATACTCGTCAAAGTTCTATGAGGGAGGGTCTGTAATTGCCCACTTTTACAGCTGAGGCTCACAGAGAGGTCAAGTAACCTGCCCACATTTTAGGGCTGTGAAATAGCAAAGACAGGATTTGAACCCAGGGCTTGTAGGAATCCAGAGCCCACAGGCTTCTCACTATAACTCCCTGCAGGGCTGCCCCAGAGAACATACAGATGGAAATGTTCTATGTCTGTGCTGTCTAATATAGGAGCTTCTAGACGCATGTGACTGTTGAGCGCTTGAAATGTGGCTAGTGGGATAAAGGAACTGAATGTTGAATTTTATTTAATTTTAATTAATAAATAACTATATGTAGCTAGTGTCTATCTTACTGGACACTAGTCCAGTGCAACCTTAGAGTGTTCTCCAGAGTTCATCTCGGGGGAAGGAGGCCAGGAATATCTGCAAAGGTTTTCTAGAAGGAGCCATCTGGTACAATGTGAATGTTTGGAGTGTTAGCCCTTAAACCACCCATTCTGAGTGCCTGCAAGAGCATGGCACTGTAGGCACCTGGGGATGCCAGTCGGATATAAAATTGTCCCACCTACCCAGATCTGACAAATAAACTTCTCAGGGACAGATAATTGGTGATGGGGCAGGAAGCCTTAGAAATGGATAACTACTTCCTGATATGTATCCTATTGTCAGACTCAAACCCAAAGATGCAATTCACTGTAGCCCTGTTTCCAACAGGAAAAGATTGAAAACGATCTAAAAGTTGGGGAACTGATTAAATAATCTTGGACCATTTATCTGCCCAATGAAATGCTATCAAATCATTAAGAAGAATAAGGTAGCTCTATATATACTGATGTAAAATGATTTCATGATATCCTTAAATTAAAACAAGGTGCAGAATGATACTAAATTGTGATGACCACTTATGTAAACCAAAGGGGATATATCTATATCTACTTTTTTTTTTTATATGCACAGAAAATTTTCTTTGGAAAGAAATACAATTTTTGAATGGGGAAAAGAACTGGGAAAAGAGAAGAAAACTTTTTCTTTGGTACAGTGTGAAACTTTTACCATGTATATGCATTAGTGTTGCCTGATTTTGAACCTTATAGATTTAATTTCATTTTATATGTTGCAGTACCTTTTGAATTTTATACTATATAGATGTATTACCTACTCAAAATTGAATTTCATTTTATTTGTGCTTTTTGAGCCTATGATTTTCAAAATCAGGCCAATCTAAACCAAATAAATATTATTTAGTTATAAATACATAAGTGGTAAAGCATAAATAAAAGCAAAGCAGTGATTAACACAAAATACAGGAAAAAACTCAACTCTGGGGCAGGGAATATGAACAGTGAAAGGTAATGGTGATTTTCTGTTTCTTAATCTAGATGGTGGACAGCTGAGTGTAATTCTTTAAGAGTACATAAATATGTTATAAATTCGATTGTATTTATGAAATGTTCCACTATTTAAAAATTGTTTTTAAATTGCTTTCTTTCTCTCCCACCCCCAGTTTCTCCTCTCCACACTCCCATCCCCAGAAAACTTAGCAAGTCTCTTGGGTACCCTCCTAGAAATGGTTTATGCTCTTACAAACATCTACATGTATCTTCTTTCATTGTGTCACACAAATATACACTGTCCTTCCCCTTCCTTTTTCACTTAATGTGATCTGTAGAACTGCCTCATTCTAAAATATTTAAGGATGAGGTAAATCTGAATGTTGTGATACAGAAAAATTCAAGATTGGTTAAGAATCAAAATAAGTCACAGAATAACATGTATGTAATGATCCCATTTATGTTAAACCAAACTATATATAGGTAACGTATAGATATGCAAAAGAGAAAAAAGAAAGAAAGGGAGAGAGAAAGAGGAAGGCTTGAATAGAATAGCAAACCATTGTTTGATCACTTCTGAGGAGAGGAGAAAATTTTGAGGGGGTTATATAGTCTATACTTATATATTACTTGCATTTTTAACAACCATTATGCCCTTTTAAATTTATCAAATATTTCAAACGTAAAGAAATGCATAGAAAATAAATATATATATAGCAAGGATTTGTGTATCCAGCACCTACCTTTTCCAAACCTTAGAGTTTTGCCATATTTTGTGTTATTTTTGCAATTCAATAAGTACTCTGGGACAACAGACCACACACTATTACAGTTAAAGTGGTTGTAGTTCCCAGAGACTTTTGTTTGTTTTGGTTTTTGTTTTGCTCCTCAGTCCTTGTGGATTGAAGTATCTGAGTAAGAAAGAGCAGAATTACACATGGCCTTAGTGTCGGCCTTTGGTCATTTGGGGAAGACAGGTTTATGTCTAGAGTTTTGCATATTCTAATATCTCCCTTCCTGCGTGAGAACTGGAAGGAATCTTGGAAATAACAGGTGAGTTAACCAAGGGGTTAACGCCAGGAAGAGAGTCATAAAAGTTCAAAGATACTTTCAAAACTTGCATCTTTGGATTGATGGACAAGTGTATTAACCAATGGAACTCAAAATGCAAGCATTACTTCATCATGCTAAGTTATCATTGGTTGGCAATCCCAGAGGGCTGGACAGCCGGGCTGGCAGTTAACCCTTTCAGGGACGATCATGCCCTGTGCATTCACTTCATTTTGAAAGATGAAGCAGGGACAGATGAAAAGCCTAGAAAGTTCCCCAAACCTTCAAGTGCCACCTTCGGTTCTCACGCCAGAAGAAAGAGTTTCGCCCTGCAAAGAAACACCCGGGAACAAATTTCCTGGAGAAAAGTTTTGAACTTTTAAAATGCAGAATCAGCTGACGTTGCTTAGTAAGAGGAGAGGGGAGGAGAGAGAAGTTTGATTCACTTTTTGTGCTGTCAGAACGGAGAC